GCCTCTCTGCCCCACTCCTCTCCTCTCCTCGCCTCTCCTCTCCTCGCCTCTCCTCTCCCTGTGGAGTGAATGTGGAAATGATGCAACCCTCGCATTATTTATTCTGCGGTTAAACATAGACTTTTGTCTTCCATAAAGGTATGGGGCTCTCGGTCCAGCCGACAGCAGTCATCCTCACTTTGGTGTTAGTATCTACACACCATCCCACAGCAGGTAATTTTGCTTTGTAATGGATTCATTTCTCCCTGTACTAAATCCGTTTCAAAGATGCGGTGAGTTGGCCCTGGCTGGAGGCCATGTCCCCACCAAAGACCCTCTGTCACTGCCCTCCACAGCTGGGCAGGGGAGAGAAAATAGGATGAAAAGCTCATGGGTCGAGATAAGGCCAGGGAGAGATCCAGCACTGGAGCATCTCCTCCCCTCATTCTCCACTGACCTGGGTGTCTGCAGAGCTCTTCCTCTCACATCTCTTTTTCTCTCTCTTGCTCTTCCCTCCCCCTCTTTTTAACTATGTTATCCTGGAGGTGCTACCGCTGTAGCTTGGCCATGGACAGTGGTGTGTCCATCTTGGAGCCATCTGCCATTGGAACTGTGGGACATAGCCCCCCTGCTACCAAAACCATGCCACAAAACCCCTGCACAAGAGTCTGAGTAAATTTGAAATTATGTCCCCTATGAGTTTCTTCTCCACTGAAAGAGGTCCAGATTTAGATGATGTCTTTGGATTTCATGTGAACACAGATGTATGTTCTGGGATTCAGGGCTCAAGTGTAGGCATTAAAATGGAGATACTGAGAGCTATTTGTCTAAAGTAATTAACAGGAGAAGATAGGCCCTCCCAGAGCATAACGTAACTAATTTATCTCAGATTACCATCTTCCCAGGGAATTAATCTCTCCATAGGGAATGCAGTTTCTCCATGGTTTCTCTACAAGATGATTGCCTTTATGAAATACTTAGGTGGCTAAAATCTGATGAGATGAACATACCTAAATAACCTGATGGTGTCAACACTGCAAAGGGAGGTGATCAGTAATTTTTACTTGCATGATGCGTGGCAGAGCTGGATGCTTTGATGCTTTATTTTGAAATGCGTGGCTTTGTGTTTCAAATGCATCTATGTTCTTTCCCTTATCCTCAAATTGGAAGCTGCTGCTCCTGGTCAGAGCTGTGAGAGGATGTGTAATGTCACAGAATAAGGGCTGCAATTTCAGTGGGGAAAACACAAATGCAAAAATTCTTCCCCTTTAACCTTTAAAGCCACTGTGATTGATGAACACAGCTCACTCATTTGTCTCTCTTTTGTAGGTGATGGCCATGATCCATTGCTTATCTTGGATGGTTATGAGGATGATGGTATTCGACTCAAATGTTTCTCTGAGAGGTTGTTTTCTGAAGTTCAGGTGTTGTGGACAGATGGTAGAGGAGAAAATGTCACTGGGACTCCTCTCACTATTGACACCACCACTGCTAATACCAGTAGCTCCATCATTCTAAAACGAGGATCTGGAAACTCTGCATCCTGCAGAATAATTGATAAACTGCTGAAAACATCAACAGAATCTTCAGTTGTCATTGCAGGTGAGTAGGAGCTTGTGTCCTTATGGCCTGCGAAGAAAATCAGTGAGCTGATGCATATGGAGCAGATGGACCTGTTGGGGTGAGTCCAGAGGGGGCTGCGGAGGTGCTTCAAGGACTGGAGCCCCTCTGTCATGGGGACAGGCTGGGAGAGTTGGGGGTGTTCAACATTGAGAAGAGAAAGGTTTGGGGAGACCTTGGAGCCCCTTCCAGTACATGAAGGGGTACAGAAATGCTGGGGGGCGACCTTTTCCAAGGGCAGGGAGTGACAGGACAATGGATCACAGGTTTAAACTGAAAGAGGGAGGCTGAGATTGGACATCAGGAAGAAATTCTTCCGGGAGAGGGTTCAGAGGCACTGGGACAGGTTGCCCAGAGAAGCTGTGGATGCCCCATCCCTGGAAGTGTTCAAGGCCAGGATGGATGAGGCTTGGAGCGACCTGGTCTAGTGGGAGGTGTCCCTGCCCATGGCAGTGGGGTGGGACTGGATGGTCTCTTCCAAACTAGACCATTCCATGGTTCTATGATTCTATTCTAATACAGTTATTTACACAAATAGGATAGTGCATCATAAAATAGTCCAGGGATATAAAAGTCCTACTGAACTGCTCCTAAAGGTGCCTAGGAATGGAATTTAGACCCAAATTCATTCTATTTCACTTTAGGCAAAGTTAGGTGTAGTTATATGTCTAGGCATACAGTTACAGACAAATTTATAACGGATCATCTGAAATAATTTGCAGATGTCTTCTTTCCTGCCACCTCCCCTTGGCTGGCAGCTTTTGTTGTGATCCTGCTCTTGAGCATATTCCTGATTATTGCTGCAATTTATAAACTCAGAAGTAAGTTCTGCTTTTAATATTAAAGTGATGAATGTGTCAAACAATTCAGCTGAAAGACAACATCACCATATACAGAATTATCTGGGGAAGAGGGTACAGGATTATGAACAAAGACCCTGATGATTCTTCAACCATGCCTTTTTATTGTGTTTTGTCTTCCCTTGCATATTCAATTTTAAGCATCTTTTAATCACTCCGTCATGTTGGGGTATAAACTTGTACAATCACATTTGCTAATAGGAATTGACGTATTATGATAGTGGAATTATCATTGCAACTTAATCTCATGTTTGAAATAAAATTATTCTTGCAAATATCTGCCATATCTTAGTGTACCCAAATGTATCCAATGGCTTAATTTATTTGGAAGTCATTCTATTGCTTTAGAAGCTAGTTTCTAAGTTCTACAAGACAAATCTGTTGCCAGGACAGCTAAATCTGATATTTTTCTGCTTTCAGCATCACTAGTTTTATTCATTAAATTCTGTATGATTTCTCATTATTTTAATGGAAGATATAAGTATATGCAAGCCAACGTATTTTAAAAATAAGTTGCTTCCTTACCACACACGAAATGTGAGAAGTTTCATTTGAAAACCTACAAACAAGAAGAAAGTAAGATAACATTTTTCTTCCCCATACCTCTTCTCTCTTTCTCTCTCTCTCTCAGAAAACAATAAGATAACTACTCGTGAAAGTAAGTCATATTAATATCATATTTAAAAGTCATATTAATGCCGTGTTTCATCATGAACATCTTGAGGGATATGTGCAACAGTGGAAATGTTGGCTAGTGGTATAAACAGGGGTGAAGTGGTCGTGTTCCTAAGGTTGTTCTGTGACTGAGACTTGAAAAGATGAGGACTTTGGTTGAGCCCCATCTATCTGTAGTAGGGTGTCTTTGGGGTGTAAGTCACCTTATGTACAGGCAACACAGAGAGACTGGCCCGTTGCTGATTCCTGTTCCTGATGAGAAATGAGAAAATTTTTGCATCCCACTTAACCTCAACTTTTCTGCCTTCATGTGTTGAAGGAAACAGTAAAAACTTTTTGGTATTGGTCACTTTTTTTGCAAAAAACCTTGACAGGTTTTCTTTCCCCTGTCTCACTGTGAAACTGATAGAAAGACCCCCTCAAACACCCCAGATACCATGCTAGAGTGTGGTTAAAGCTGCCACATGGATGTGATTGAGCAGGGCATTAAAATTTTTCTATTTTTTTATTTTTAAAAATGAAAAACTCATTGTTTGTCTGAATATTTACATCAATTTCTGAATGATTTAACCATTTGTACATGCAAATATACATACGAATTGTTGTGGTTTAAGCACTTCTGCATAGTCTTTAAAACCGGATGTTATGTGCTTGAAGAATTATTTCAGAATATAAAAAAATATTTCTCTGTCCACAGAAAATGCACAAAAGGAAATTGAAAATGGTAAGTGCAAGAGCTCTTTTTTTTTTTTTTTTCCCCAGTGATTTTGATCTATAAATCTCTCCGGTCCTTTAGAACCAAGTAAAAGTTGAGCCCAGGAAATACGAGTGGCTGTTTTGCTTTTGCAAAATAAAATTTCAAAGAAAATCTTTGCAGTATCTTTTATATTGACCACTTGGACATAATCAACGCCTACAGAGAAGAGGACTATTTCCAGGGTGAAGTTTGATCTATGGTTGGCATTTTTTGCTGAGTATTTGAGCTTGCAAATTGTTCTATTGGTTAATTCAGGTAAGTGAATGTGTTCTCAGTCTGGGACCATGGTTCACGCTGAATTTCAGTCTGTAAGTTAAAAAAGGATTCAGCTCTAGAGTCTGAAAAATAATTAAAAAAAAGAAGTTTTCTGATTTTTTTAAAAGGCTGGTTAGGACTGCACTGTACCAAAGTAGAACAAGAAGATAGCTTTTACTGTGAAGAGCAAGTGAGCTGGGTAAATGTATGCCAGAGATGTAGTAAATCCAGTAAACCTTTTTGAAACTTTTTAGTAGTCCTTATGTTACCATGAAGAAACATCATTTCGGTGCCATCAGATGGTACCAGCATAATGAAGACAATTCCCTTATAGCAGGGGAACATCCGGCTGTTTTATGAAGCTCAAATAATTTCATTTTATCTTAGCTCTTGCCATACAGAACACGGTGGAACAGATAGAAAACCCAACATATTTGTGTGAAATGAAAAAAAAAAAAAAAAAGGAAATGATGTTTTAATATTTAAACATAATCTCTTTCAGAAATCAGTCAGCTCAAGGAGGAACAAGGTAAGAACATATTTTGACTTCTTTGTTATGTTGGGTTTGCATATTCTTTGGTTAGAAGAATCCTCTACATTTAAAAAAGTTTTAGTAGGGCCCATATTGAAAATGTCCTTCTATTCTAAAGCTGGAGCTTTCAATTAAATTAATGACTTCTGGTAATATTATCTTCAATGTCACCTGGTTTTTGCCAGTGAATTTTATGTATCTAGTCTAAGCTAATGATCTAGACTTTTTCTACAGGATGGGTATCTTCAGAGGACAACTTATCCCACACCCATTCTGAAATTATATTCCGAACGTAATGCCAAGCCTCAGTTCCCTAGATGAAAACATTCTTTAACACTGAAATTCTCACTCACATTGTGTGTGGTTTTGTCCTGAAAAATGTAACATTCTCTGCTATTTCTGGGTTTGTTCTTTGTTTTTCAGCTGAGGAGCAGGACAGCTTTCAGAAGGGTAAAATAACATCTTTTTTCCTACTTTGCTTTTAGTATAGTACGCTGTTCTTTTAACCATACTCGGAAAGATGTTTTGTAGGTGACAAGTGTAATAAAATAGTGCTCTTTTGTGGAACTTTGAATGGTAGAGTTGGAAAACACCCTCAGAAATTCACATTTGCAAAGATTAACTCCCCTATTCGTACCAGAAAGATAATTGAAAAGTTGTGTTATGTGTTGTGTACACACAGTCTCTCTCTCTTCTTATTTGTAGGTATTTAATTATAGATAGAGAGTATATATGTTACCAAAAAGTTTGTTCAGCCTAACACCAGCAACAAGAGCATTGGGACTGTAACAAATACATATATTTTTATATATGTAAATATATATATATACCTAAAGTGCTATAGCTATTTTTCCACTGCTAGAAAAATATTTAAGTGGAACATTCTATTTATTGCCTCTCAGAATAAAATAATGATGAAAGCATCTGATCACAGCATTAAAAATATCTAATGGAGAAAAAAAAAAATCCAGTGCAATTTCTTTGAACAGTGAGAATAAAAGAGTTCTCACAAAGCCATCATGACAAGCCGTATCCCCAGGTGAAGCTAAGAACCTTAAAAAAGATAACACTGGGTTTTATTTGTGTACAGGAGACAAATGTCATCCCAAGCTTTGTGTTAGTGACACAGGTTTTACACTTCTATTACGAGGCTCTACAAACTGTAAATATCCTTGGGAACTATTTGTTCTGAATCAATCCCTGATTGTTTCTGATATTTCCCTTTATTTTGTCATGTCTCATGTTCAGAAATATTTGTGCAACACATTATTTAATAGTGGAAAATATAGGGAAATATAGGGAAAATTTACATTATGCATGTCTATCATCCTACAAAGTTAAGCAGATTAACCCTACATATATTAATATATATTAACAGATTAATAAATGGATTAATCCTATATATATAGATAACCTCTATATTAGTATTCCAAAATGCATAGTGAGTGTACCATAATTCACCTGCTTTGGTCAGCCTAACTTTTAATTTAATTTTGTTTCCTTGTAGAAAATCAGGATATATTGAGCAGAATTGGTAAGGATATCAAGTTAACTTTGGTCCTTAAAAATAATTTAAATTATTTGTGATTAGAAACAGCATTTTGGAACTGAATTGTGCCACCATTAGAGGGCTGTTGCAGCGCTGCTTTACCTTCCATGCTGAGACTTAGTTGTCTCTCAAAAAAAAAGGGGGTTTTCTGGCATGATCTTGGACTGCAGAATGTCAAGGGGACATCTTTTCAATCCTTTAAGGATTTCATTTTTTCTGTAGTGCAGTAGAAAACAGATTTTCCTTCCTACTAACAAACTAGTATTTCTGAAAGCAAGAAAATAAACCCTAATGTATGTACGTTTTGACCCTTGACCATGTGAAGCTCCTGTTTGTCACCTGTCAGGATCTGGAAGCACGGTCACAGGTCCCGTATGTACCTGCAGGTGATTCAGTTCACCTAATTAGTTATGCAAATTATGGGCAGTGAGGCTAAGACAGTTTTCTGGAGTGTCTCAATGATGGCTGAAGGAATCTTGGAGCAGTTTCAGGTAGCTGCTTGAAAGAGCAGAGAAAAAACACTTTCTGATGGGCTATTCTCTTTCTCCTGACTCTATACAGAGCTCAGATGACTTACTTGGGCATAGATGACCTTTAGCCCTCCAGAGTTAAGCTAGCGTCATTTCCCAAGTATTAGGCCAGGTCAAGGGGCAATGACTTTATATTAAAAGAGGGGAAATTTAGATTGGACATCAGGAAGGAATTCTTCCTGGAGAGGGTGATGAGGCACCGGGACAGGTTGCCCAGAGAAGCTGTGGATGCCCCATCCCTGGAAGTGTCCAAGGCCAGGATGGATGAGGCTTGGAGCAACCTGGTCTACTGGAAGGTGTCCCTGCCCATGGCAGGGTGTGGGACTGGATGGGCTTTAAGGTTCCTTCCAACTCAAACTTTTCTGTGATTCTATGATTAAGAAATGTAGCATTGGAAATACTCTTCTTAGCACAGATATCTTACAGAAGAGCTTGGCCATGCATGAGGATAATATAACTTCTTATCCTTTTCAGATAAAGTCCAGAAAGAACTGGGTGAGTTGAAAGCTGAAGACTATTTTTATCAAATTTATATGCCTCCCACCCCACACTGTACTAAACTTAGGTATATGAACATTCTGCAATAATATTCATTAACCAATCACTTATTTTCTTGCAGAGTTCAGGAGAGCTCATAGCAAAGCAGGTAAGCCATATCTCGCTTGCCATTAACCTCATGTTCTTCCATGCACATACCAGAGCCCATCTCTTGTATTATGAAAAACTCACAGGCTGTCAGAATTTGAGGAAATTTTTCAACACATTGGCTGAAACAGATGCTGAGTTTTCTCTTAGGCCTCTCCCATCTACACAGTTCTCCGTGTCCCAAATTCGTGTGAATCATTTCTCTACCAACTAGGACCTTTTTACATATTATGTGGCTTTGAGAGTTTCAGATTTGTGTTTTATTCCAAAAATATGGCTTCCAGTTGGGTCTGACCAGAGATCCCCTCAGTGAGAGTGAAGATAAATTAATAAAGGCACAGTGAAAACAGGCAAGCCCTGCAGGTTATTATTTCTGATATTGAGTTTTTGCCTGACGAAAACACACTGTATATTCCTGTGGTATTTAGGAGGTTTTTAGTTTATTTTCTCTTCTATCTCCCTTATTCACTTCCTTTGAGATTACTGTTTATTTTCCTGAAAAATAACTGGGAGTGTTTGTTTGTTTATTTGCGTGGGGTTTTTTTTCTTTTCTTTTCACTAGTTAATATCACTCTGGATGAGAACTGCAAACATCCCAGCCTCATCATTAAGGAGAAAAACAGAGTCATGTGCTCCAGCCAGGAAGAGAACCTCTCTAAAGCGGTGGCGGTCGCTACCGAAGGGTTTTCAGAAAAGAGACTTTACTGGGAAGTGGAGGTGGGGGACAAGTCAGAGTGGGAGGTGGGTGTGATGTGTGAAGAAATTAGAAATATAGTGAGGAGCAACACGAAGGACGCTTTCCCAAAGGGGAATTTACTCAGTCTGCAATTTTCTCAGGGAGAATACAGCTTAAATGGTGGGAAGGATGAAAGAAATTGCATGCCCTGCAGCGTGGTAGGTGTTTTCCTGGATCACGAATCTGGCAAGCTTTCATTTTTTGATGCTGAAAAAAAGTGCCTTCTCAAGTCTCTTTCTTTTGAGTTTTCTGAGAAGCTGTACCCATTTTTCAGACCAGGCTCTGATGGCAAATGGTTGGGAGTTCGCCCTGTATGTACTTTAACTGCATAACGCTCGCTGTGACATCCTTCCACAGAGCCAGGAGGGTATTAATAAATTAATAATGTAGTGAATCGCAAGAGGATGCAAAAGCAGAGAGGAAGGAAAAAAAGGCAATATCAGATCTTAAACTATGGTCAAGAAAGAAATAGTCTCTGAAGTACTTCTTAGGGATTCATCTTGTACTAAGAATTTACTTTGTAAAACCTGTCAAATGTCACAATTTTATTTCATTTTACCTGGACTAAATAACCATGGAATTATTTCAGTATTTGTTGTGTATTCTCTTCCTTTTTGACTAATAAACCTTTCAGAACAGTTTACCAAGAAGAGTATGAATGCAAATTTCAACTTTATACAAAGTCACAAAACCAGTCATTACAATCAAAATCTGAACTATGAAATGAAAATAGTCTTTTTGGAGGTCTGCTTATAAAAGTTATTAAGTGATAAGGGTGAAATCCACAGATCACATACTCAGTGTGATAAAGCTCCTTGTATGGAAGCAGCCGGTTAAGTTAGTTTGAGAGTGCAGCTAGCAGGACCAGGGCAGGGATTGTCCCCCTGTGCTGGACACTGGTAAGGTCACACCCTGAGTCCTGGGTTCATTTCTGGGGCCCTCACTGCAAGAAAGACACTGGGGGGCTGGAACATGCCCAGAGATGGGCAACGGAGCTGGGGAAGGGTCTGGAGCACAAGTCCTGTGGGGAGCAGCTGAGGGAGCTGGGGGTGTTCAGCCTGGAGAATAGGAGGCACAGGGGAGACCTTATTGTCCCCTACAACTCCCTGAAAGGAGGGTGCAGAGAAAGGGGGGTGTGTGTGTGTGTGTGCGGGGTGGTGTTCGGTCTCTTCTCCCAAGTGACAAGAGGAAACATCCTCAGGTTGTGCCAGAGGAGGTTCAGATTGGATATTAGGGAGAATTTCTTCAACAAAAGGGTTGTCAGGCATTGGAATGGGCTGCCCAGCGGGGTGTAGGAGTCACCACCTCTGTGGACAAGGCGCTTAGGGACATGGTTCAAGGTAGACTTGGCAGTGTTGGGTTGATGGTTGGACTCAATGTTTTTAAAGGGCTTTTCTAATCTAAAGATTCTATGATTTATCAAATCATGACATGGGACTGCTCACTTCTGCACACCTGCTGCAAGTATTGGACAAAAATGTGTACGGAAAAGGGTGGAGGAAAGGAAAATATTTTAAGCTAAGGTATTAAAGTATGTATAACACAGATTATGATCACGGATGTTTAATACATAAATTACTATTAAGCATTAAATTTGTCTAAGATGATGATATAATTTTTCATTTCACAACAGAATCTACCATATTAAAAAAAATTATTCCTCTTTAACTGAACAAATTCTCATAGTTGATTCTTTGTGTGAGTTTTTAAAGAAGGGATACAATTCTTCCGAGAATGCACAGTCTTTAAAAGTGAACATCACAGACATGTCAGTAACATTGAAAAAAGTCAAAATTTTCTCTTCACAATTAAGGTACACTCCAACTTTCTTGGGTTTTTTCTGCATCACTAACCGTTTCCATGGATCAGTTCTTGCCCAGTAATCTTTAAAACTTAAGCCCAGAACCCAGAATCCTTCTTTAGGAAACAGAGACATTTTTCCTTTCCTCGGAGCGGATTTCCTGGCTACTCCAAGGTCCCAGTCATTGCTTTTTTCAACATCCACCTCCCAGTAATGCTTCCCAGAGGAGAAACCTTCTGAGCCCAGGACACAAACAGATGAATCAAAACTCATGTCATTTTGAGTGACTTTCTGGACTTGTGATTTATGCGTAAAACTCTTCTCGTCCACAGCAATAGACAAGTTTGGATGAGCTGTGTCCCCATCAACCTTGATGTCATCTACAACAGATAGATATTTGGAGCTTTATGAACACTCCTCTAAAGCAAATATGCGAGAAGAAAACTCTACTGTGCTGCCTTTCATTCTGAAAATCTCCCTAAAAACTTGTCTGGAAAGACCTCTAAGACTGGAGTGAAGAAGGATGCATTCAGACATATAAATTGCACTTTAACTTTCAAATATTTCCCTGCCAACAGAAATATCTCCATTTCACTGAAATAAAAGGCATTTGTAGATCCACAAACCGGTTCATGGTTTGTCCTTCTGCAGTATTCACAGATTTCAAGCCATTTAGGACAGGTATAAGTAAATAGATTGTTTTTACCTGCATTGCCACGAGCCTTTCTGAATTCTGAATAATAAGAAGGAAAAAAAAAAAGAAAGGAAAAAAGTAAGAAAAAACAAACTCCAAACATCGACTGAAAATATTTGCGAACTCCAAGCTGGGAAATCTCAGACTGAGTCTAAATTCAAATTATGTAGGTCAACAGACACTCAAATTCCCTCTTGCTCTCTCAAGCCCTGTGATTATTTGCAGGGTCTGGAGAAGGATATGAATCATAGAATGGTTAGGGTTGGAAGAGAATCTGGGATGAGTTTCCTGCTTGGGAATTACTTTTCCTCTCGGGTCCCAATTTACTGCCTTGCCAGTATTTTACATAGATGCCCTACCAGCCACACTCTACATTTCAAACCATTTGAGATCCCTGGCCAGCACCCCAACATTTTCAGAGAGACAGAAAGAGACAGTTCCCTTTGTGACATTCATGGAGATAGATTTCAGCCACATTTCACGCATTTCTCAAGCAGGGGTGGAATCAAAGGAACAGATTGGGTGTATTTTCCTTAGTCTTCCGAAGGGAGGAGGGATTGCTCTTCCTGGTGAGCTTCTGGGTCTGTACAACTGTGACAGCTTTGTGCAATAGCTGTGTAAGGAAGGACTGTGGAGAAGATGTGGCAGGCAGAGAGTCTACTGTTCAAACCAAGCTCCCGAGAAGTCTACTCAGATGAGTAAATATTAAATATTTTCCAGGGCAGGGTCAGCTGAGCTTGTGCTTTTATGTGTGAGATGAAAAGACCACCTAGCAGGGTAGGATCATGAAGTCCTGAGATATGAGCTTAAGGGATTAGCTCAAAGGTAGGCGTCTGTATGTGAAAATCATCATGTGTTGGATGAATGTCTAAGCAGGATAACAATGTCTGAGACAATGTGAGATTTACACCTGGAACTACATGCAAGAAAGGCTTCAAAGCCCCAGGAGTTCAAGTTACAAGCTATAAATTCATTGCACTGTAAAACAAGAACCATCCCTTCCTCTTGTTGGACCTTCCCTAGTTTTAAGAAACTTAAGAGATAATAATGACTTACCAATTTCTTTCCTCTGATCCACTGTGAACAAGATAAACACACAGGAAGAAACATTACTATGGATTAGACATCAGTACTTGGTACACAACAGGATGACTATGGGTACCGGTAACT